ACTAAAATTAATTTAATTATAATAACAAAAAGTAAGTAGTACGGACGGACGGTACTACGTACCTACGAACGTAAGTATACTCTACTTATATATATATATATATATATATATATATATATATATATATATATATATGGGATAATCTAAACTTCACAACCCTTCAAATTACAAAGGGTCAAGATAGAGAGAGTTTTGAAGGGTTGATTTATTAATTTTGTAGTCTATTTTTTAAAAAAAGTTACTTTTATGGGGCAATTTTGTAAATATTACTATAAAACAAAGGGTACTTTTGTCATCTCTATAAGGGGTAAAGTTGAAATTTTAACTAAAGGACAAGGGCACTCTACAAATTAAGTTTCAGGACAGTAACTTCTAAAATGCCATTGTACTTTTGTGAAAATTTCAAATTTTCCCTTGCTTGATGGTAAAGTTACCTATTTAAATAATTTTTTAATAAAAAAGTAATGCTTGTTTTGATAAATACACCCATCACAACCCCTTCTAACTTGAACCATTGCATTTGGAGGAGCTGTTAACTCTAGAAAAACCCTATACATATATATATATATATACATATATATATATATATATATATATATAATTGTATTTACTATATATTATAATATCATATTTTTAAAATTATATAAAACATAGATTTATATATCAATCATACTAAATATAATTTATGACCCTGACCTGACCTGATCAAACAGGTTAGGTCCAATTCTAACCTAGACCTTGTCGGATCGGATCCAGTTGTGGTAATCCTAAGCTAGACCTTGTCGGATCAGATCCAGTTGGGGTAATCCTAACCGAAACCCAACACCTTTAAAGCCCTACTTGATACTATTCCATATGCTTCAAGGCCCATATATACATTGAAGTAAGGGGTGTGTGCGTGTGTGTGCATATATAGAGAAAGTTTATACAAGGTAAAGGTTGCAACCTTATACTATAGAAGTAAAGCATACCTTAAAAATCAATAGAAAAAGTGTTTCAAAATTGGAAATCTATTTGATCATCTCAACCTCGCGATGTAAGGATAAAAAGAAAAGTAAGGGCACCTTAAAATCAGTAGAAAAGAGTGTTTCGAAATTGGAAAACCTTCTATTTGATCATCAAAACTTCGCGATGTAAGGATATAAAGAAAAAAAGAATTTCAAAACTTAAAAATAACACATCTTGTAACAAGTGTTTATAAATGTGCTTGATCTGCACCATTTTTGGAATTTCAAACTTAATAATTAGGGTTAAACATGGATTTTCAAGCAATTGTAAGGTCTCCGACACTATAACTCCATTTTCTGGCAAAATTTAAAGGTGCCTCTTACTTGTATAGATTAAGGGGGCCACTTATAAAAACCTCACCCTATATATATATATATATATCATCAACATCATCATCATAGCCTTTTTCCAATTAATTTGGGTCGACTACACGAATCTTGATTCGCCATTTTGCTCTATTTAAGGCCATACCCTCAGCGAAGCCATAAGCCCTCATATCTTTTCGGACTACTTCCAACCACATCCTTTTGGGCCTTCCCCTTGCCCTTTTCAATCCTTCCACTTGAATTCCACTTGAACTAACTCGCACCTCCTAACATGTGTTGTACTGGGTCAGCGTCACACATGACCAACCCACCTAAGTCTACTCCCTCTCATCTTATCACCTATTGGTGTCAAAGCCTAAATTTTCCCAAATGCATTCAGTTCGAATTTTATCCCTTCTTGTCTTGCCACTCATCTATCTCAACATCCTCCTCTCCGCTACACTCATTCTATGAGTATATTGTTTTTTGTGCGCTCAACATCCCGCCCCATATAGCAAAGCTGGTCTCACAGTTGTCTTATAAAACTTTCCCTTCAGCTTCATTGGTATGCGGTGATCACATAAAATTCCAATTGCACATATCCACTTTGCCCACCTAGCTCTAATTCTGTGTGCAACATCTTCAATTTCCCCATTTTCCTGGATTATCAACCCAAGATATCAATAGTAGGGTCTTTTGGTACTTCATGGTCGTCAATCTTAACTACTTCCTCATCTCTACTCCTATTATTACTAAACTTGCATTCCATATACTCTGTCTTAGTCCGGCTAATTTTAAAACCTCTGTTTTCTAGAGCATCCCTCCAAAATTCTAACTTTGTGTTGACGTCGTTTCAGGTCTCATCGATCAAAACTATGTCGTCTACGAACAACATGCACCATGGTACCTCATCTTGTAGGACTGACCAAAGTGAAGGACACGAGGCAATCCATATGACCTACATTCACCAAAAATGGCACTCCATTTCTTTAATTTAATTCAAGTGAATATGCATGTGTATAAAACTTGCTGACGATTGGTATCCTACTTTCCCCAAAAAAAAAAAGAAGAAAAAGCAAAAATCTAGCACGCAACAGGCTGTTTATTTCTGCAAGCTTCAGTTCAAGTCGTCAGGTCTATAATGTTCCAATGACTGTGGCTACAAAAAAAGAAAAAAAAAAATCTAACAAGCAACACAGGTCGTCAAAACTGAGAGCTGCAATCTAGATTGTCGGGCCTCTACTGTTCCAAGGCTTGTAGGCTATGTGTGTGTGTGTATGAAAAAGTTTATATAAATTTTCAACCTTATTCTGTAGAAGTGAGGCACGCCTCGAACACACATCAAAAAAGGTCATTCCAACGCTATAAAACCCTCCAATTGATCATCTCAACCTCGATACGCATGTATATGGAATGAAAAGGATCTCAAGTCCTAAAATAGTGCATCATATGTATATGGAAAAAAAAGGATTATCAAGTTCTAAATAATGCATCTTGAAACACATTATCAGGACCGTTCATTTTCAAGATTTTCAAGTGTTTATATATTTGCTCTATCTGCATCATTTTTGGAGTTTTAAATATCATAATTAGATGTGAAAATAGATTTCAGTCCATCCTAAGAATTTCCAACACCAAAATTACATCTTTTGATACAGTTTGGAGGTGCACCTTACTTTGATTGTTTTAATGTTGACAGCATATGCAAACTATACACACACACACACACACACATACATATATATATATATATATATATANATATATAATATATACTTATACGT